GGCTATTCCAGGTGAGCAGACACCCTTGGTGAGACTCCTGATCAGCTGTATACATTCATTATGGGGTTGAAGAATCAAGTCCTTGATCATTCCTAGAATCCTTGATGAGGTTATTTTGAGACAAATGGTGTATCAGCACATCCCTGGAGCCAAGCTACTGGGGTTAAACTCATGTTTCTGTCACACGTGAGTTATGTGACCTTGGGCGAATTACTAAACTTCTCTGGGTCTCTGTCTTCCCTTCGTAAAATAACATTGGCATCAAATTTATAGAGTTGGGCTGGGCACATCACATATTAGTTATCTCTATCTAGAAAATCCACTTTACCTAAGCAGTTTGCAGCCAGCACCAAGTCCACCTGCTGTCTGTCTCATGGCCCATCTGCTGTCTCATGTTCAGAATCAGCAAGCACCACTACAAAGAGGATATTTTTGAATATGAACACAAAGAATTGTCCCCATATGCCAAACATTCCCCGAGGAGCTGCTTCCCTGGGCTCATGTGTCTATCTGCTTCCTCCCAAAGCACACATAATTCCTCTGTATCAGGGAAGATAGTAAGTGCAAGATAGCCTCCAAATAGACCTCATCCCACTCCTCTTAATACCCAGACCAACTTCAAGGAGTTAGTTCCATCATTTGATATGACCTCCTAGACAGGAGTCATCTTTCAATTAAAAAAAAAAAAAAACAAACCTGTGTGGTGTATGTGCACATGTGTGTGGGTGAGCATGCCTGTGCACACATAGGGGCCAGGGGAGAGTGGTGGGTATCCTATCCCACTCTGCCTTGTTCCTTTGAGGCAGGGTCTCACTGCATTGAAGCTCACATTTTTTGACTAGGCTTGCAGTCAACCTGTGTCAGTGATCTTCCTGCCTCTGCCCTCCTCAGTGATGAAGTTACCAGTGGCCATGGGACCATACCCAGCCTTTACTTGGGAGTGGGGTTCTAAACTCTGGTCCTCACACTCCCACAGCATTCTTTTTATTGTTTATAACTTAAAATTTTTATTGAGAATTTCATACACGCATATAAGGTGTTTTGATGAACTCCACGCCTACTCCTTCCCCTCCAACCCCTCCCATATCTCCCCATCACTTTTTCCTGACAACTTCATGTATTCATTCTTTTTTTTTAAATGGGGCTTTTTGCTACTCTAACATTCCCTGCCTCTGAAGAGGTAACTCTAAAATCTTTTAGGGATTAGATAAGAGCTCACAAGTACTTTTGATATTTTTGGCCTTTGGAATGGAGTATGTTGCTAAGAGGCCCAAGGACATTTTGACTTTTATCCAGAAACTGGCCACTTTTCTTTGGGGTCTTTTTACCCTAACCGCCTAGCCAATTCCTACCTCCTATTCTTATCACATCATCCTCTGAAGAGGTTACCCAAATTGCTGATGGGGAATTAGGACGCAAACTACTCTGGCTTCTTCCATGCTGAACAGGGATGCAGAGTGAGGCAATTGGGGTACCCCTTCAATGGGTCTATCTAAAAGACTCCCAAATTGCATAGCTCTTAACTGTAGGGAGAAAAGAAAGTCCTTGACTGGTGCCTGGGAGATCTGAAGGAGAAGTAAAGTCAAGAGTGGTTAGCATTACAAGTTCTAGACAGGGAACCAGAAAAAGGTCAGAACAGGGAAAATTTCAAATATTCATATCAGAGTCCGTTGGAATTTCCTGATGAGAGCTTCCTAAAGCATCCCTCTATTGGGTTCCTCCTCATTTTTCTTTTGTCTGCTAAGGCTGGACTCCAGAGTGATGGACTCAGGATTTGTTTTCAGGGACTTTGATAGCTGTGGAGTGGGTAGAATCAGTGTCAGTTCCCTCAAACAAACATTCTTTTTTAAAATGTTTATTTATTTATGTGTATGAGTGGTTTGGTTGTTTTGTTTTGAGACAGGGTCTCCCTGTAGCCCTAGATGACCTGAGACTCACTATGTAGACCAGGCTGGCCTGGAACTCACAGAGATCTGCCTGCCTCTGCCTCCCGAGTACTGGGATTAAAGGCATTCCCCAACACACCCAGCTATGTGTAAGAGTGCTTTGCCTGCATGTATGTAAGTGGACCATATGCATGCTATCCCTGTAAAGGCCAGAAGAGGGTGTCAGATGCCCTGGAACTGGAGTTATGGATCACTGTTATCCACCATGTGGGTGCTGGGAACCAAACCCCAATCCTCTGCAAGAGCAGCCAGCTCTTAACCTCAGAGCCATCTCTCCAGCCATCTTGCAGATGCTTCTAAACCTTGGCGGTTTGGGAAAGCTATATGTTACCAAGACTATGTCCTGGCTTGGCGATAAGAAAAACAACAAACAAACAAAAACTCTTGGAGCAAAGTATATGCTCGATTTGGGTGGCAGGCATCAAAGTGGGTAATACTGTCCAGCATACATCCAGACACATAGTGCCCACCATATGGGGAGCAGAAAGCCTGCTGCTTGGACACTGAAATAACAGAAATCATCTGGCTGTACCTTAAGAACAAGTAGTCTTGAGAGCTGGAGAGATGGCTCAGCAGTTAAGAACACTGATAAGTCTTGCAGAAGACCCGGGTTTGAATCCCAGCACCCCCACATGGCAGCTAGCAACTCCAGTTCCAGGGGATCTGACAGCCTCTTCTGTCCTCCGCAGGCATCGCACGACATGGGTGCACTACCTGCATGCAGGCAATACACGCATACACATAAAATAAAAATAATTAAAAAAAAAAAAAGAACAGTCTCATGCCTAAGGACCAGATAGAGCTCTTGTTACCTGCATTTAGATCAATAATTTACTCTGTCTAGATCGCATCGTCCACAAGAAAGATCATTACTTCTCTTCCATCTAAAGCTATTTGTCCATGGACAGCTCGCCACCCTTACCTGGCCCAAGGCTGAACAACCAGACTTCAAATGATACTGCTTCCAGGAAATGGCCCCTCATGGCTGGAATCTGATAAAGTACAGATCAGCCCCTGGGTCATTCCCAGCTCCCAGAACTGCACTCTGGCAAAGCTCTCAGGACTGCCAATCCTTCTTAAGTCCTCATTTCACAGAGAGGAGGTTCAGATTGTGCCTTACTCTGGCCTTGTCATCTCGGTTATAGAATGTTAGAGATTTCCTTTTGAGGGCAAAAAGAGATGACGAATGAGTGAGGTCAAGCAGGGAAGAAGAGGAAAATGCAGGAGCTAGAAAATAGCTGTGCAACAGAAGCGATACCCTCACCCTCCACGGAGATGAGTCACTAATCTTCAACAATTTCCAGAGAAAAAGGCAAATGATGATCTAGTTCCTGATAAGCACTAATAAGCAAGATTGAAATCTAAGGCAGTGGGGCAAAGTAACTAGCAGCAAGGTGTGATGGTGTACGCCTTTAATCCCAGCATTCAGGAGGCTGAGGCAGGCAGATCACTGTGAGTTCAAGGCCTGCCAAGTCTGCATAGTGAGTTCCAGATCAGCTGGGGCTACAGGGAGACCTTGTCTGAAAAAAAAAATTTATTCAGCACCAGAGCCTGGCTAGAGGAGCCAGAACTAGGGGCCTAGCCTCTTTGTTGCTTGGATGATGAAATGGATGGAACTCCCAAGAGGAATCTTGGAGCACCCTAGACAACCTTATTCTTACTCCCTGACCAAGCCATGTTCTTCTACATCTTAAAATTTCACAATCAGGGGGCTAGAGAGATGGCTCAGTGGTTAAGGACACTGGCTGTTCTTGCAGAGGACCCAGGTTCCATTCTCAGCACCCACATGGTGGCTAACAACCGTTCATAATTCCAGTTCCAGGAGATCCAATGTCCTCTTTTGACCTCTGTGGACATTGTACAACATGGGTGCACTTACATGTATGCAGGTAATACATGCATACACATAAAATAATAAATAAAAATAATTTTTTTAAATTCACAATCCACTCTTATTCAAGATTCCGAGATGCAGCCAGGTATGGTGGCACGTGCCCTTTAATCCCAGCACTTGGGAGGCAGAGGCAGGCAGATCTCTGTAAGTTCAAGGCCAGCCTGGTCTACAAGGAGATCCTGTCTCAAAAAGACCAAAAAAAAAATAAAAGCAAAAAAGATTCCGTGATGCAAGCCAAATCTAACCTATTTAAGCAAAACATGTTTATGTTAACACAACGTTGGGGAACAGAAGAGCTGCAGGAGGGATGGGGAACTGAGTTTGGTAGATGGTAAGCAGAACCAATGCTTGGAATCACTCCACAGACCTGGTCTGGCACAGACACCTCTGCATTCGACATATGGTGGCCACTGCTGCCACCAAGGTCATAGCCCCATATAGTGCTATGAGGAACAAGACATCTCTGCCCCCAGTGCCCATCGCTAGCAAAAAGGCTCCATAGGAACACTACTTCCTTATAACATCATTTTTGGTTCAAAATCTGGACTAGATGTGTTTAATTAACCTTTGAGAGGCTGGTTGAGGGAGATCAGGTCTTTCCTACCTCACCTGTGAGATACAGGTTCTGCTCTGTAAGAGACGATTCCCAAACATGATGACTGCCCTGTGCCCATCTCACTGCCTTTCTAGCCCCATCCCCTTCCCTTCCACATCACCCGGCAGTCCAGGTTCCAAATCAACAGAAAGTTCTCTGATACCCTCTAATGCTTCTAATGTGCCTGCCATCCTGTTACCTGCTCTGGCCCATGAATTGCTTATCTTTCAGGACTTAACAACACAGCTTCCCCTTCAAAGACCATTTGAAGTTCTATAAACATGCCAATCTCAGGAAAGTGTACACCCAGATAAGAACCATTTTCACCTGCATTGAACCTAAATATCTGTCCAGTGTCTAGAGTCCAGCAGGAGGCCACTCAAAAATCTAAGATTCAGAGAGGGGTGGTGAGGGAATTCTTGTGACCACTGGGTTCTCCCTCTTTCCCCTCTATCACAGGCAGGATAATTTGACTCTTGGAATCTGAAAATTTAATATCAGGGGGTAAGAAAGATACCTGTAGTATATTTGCCAAGTATTCAGAATGAGTCTGTTTTCATTTCAGACCAGATGGAGCCATTGTCCACTAGGCTTCCCCCAATTACTTCAGAAGATGGGAACTATTCCATGCACCAGAATAGCCACAAAAAGTACCAAGAAGCTGTAAGGAAGGTGTTGTTAAAAACGTGTAAGTACCGTGGAGTGGGCACCATGCTAGGGAAAGATGTGTCTGATCTGAGCACCTAAACAGTGTCTTGGTCCTGGGGAGGGAGGACACAGTTTTTTTTTGGGGGGTGGAGTTGTTGTTGTCTTTTTTTGAGACAGGGTCTCTCTGTAGCCCCAGCTGGCTTTGAACTCACAGAGATCCGCCTGGCTCTGCCTCGAGTGCTGGGATTAAAGGCGTGGGAGGACAAAGTTGTACTGTCTTACCCGTCTCAAAATCATGAGGATCACGACAATGGTAAAACAATTCAGGAAAGTACTTTATCACACTGAACCCCATGAGGATTAGAGCCAGCACCAGCTTTGTAATTTGAACTGAATTTAAACTCCAAACAAGTTGAATGACTTTGGGAAAGTTTCTTTGGCCCTTTAACCTCCACCTGCCTCTGCCTCCCAAATTCTGGGATTAAAGGGGTGTGCCACCACGCCTGGCTGAAACCGGGAACTCTTTAGTACTGTCCAGAAAAACCACGTAGGACAAACTTCAAATGCATGCATATGATGTAGGAATCTTCAGGAAATTATGCTGTGTAAAGAAAGCCATTCCTGAGGTTGGAGAAGTGGCTCAGCTGTTAAGAGCACTGGCTGTTCTTGCAGAAGATTCGGGTTTGAATCCCAGCACCCACATGGCAGCTGACAACCGTCCATAACTCCAGTTCCAAGAGATCCGATATGCTCTTCTGAACTCCACAGGTGTTGCACAACATGAGTACACTTACATACATGCAGGCAATACACACATACACATAAAATAAAAATAAAAAATTATTTTTAATAAGAAAGTCATTCCTAAAGCTGGAGAGATGGCTTAGTGGTTAAGAGCATTGACTGTTCTTGCAGAAGACTGGGGTTTGAATCCCAGCACCTACATGGCAGCTAACAATCATCCAGTAACTCTAGTTCCAGGGGAGCCCATGCTTTCTTCTGTCCTCTGTGGGCATTGCACAATATGGGTACACTAACATACATGCAGGTATAATGCTCATACACATAAAATAAAAATTAATTAGTTAATTTTTAAAAAAGAGTACATGTGGAGCTGGAGAGATGGCTCAGCGGTTAAGAACACTGGTTGTTTCTTGCAGAAGACCCGGGTTTGAATCCCAGCACCCACATGGCAGCTAGCAACTGTCCGTAACTCCAGTCCCAGGGGATCCAACAGCCTCTTCTGACCTCCGCAGGCATTGCACAACATAGGTGCACTTACCTACATGCAGGCAATACACGTATACACATAAAATATAAAAATAAAAATAAAAAAAGTTAAAAGAATACTTTAGAACTCAAAACAGGTATATGCAGGAAGAAGGGTATTTAAGTTACTTCTATTAGCAAAATGTTTTTAAAGCTTATTATTAATAGTAATGAAACTAAGCAAGAATGTAACATTTAGCCAATGAACTAAGGATTTAAAAATTATAAAGACAACAGAGCAAGCCAGAATACTGAGCCATAATTCTGTCTTTAAAATATCAAATTTTGGGGGGTCGGAGAGATGGCTCAGCAGCTAAGGGCACTGACTGTTCTTGCAGAGGACCCAGGTTTGATTCCCAGCACCCACATGGCGGCTACGAACCGTCCTGAACTCCAGTTCCAGGGAATCCAAAGCCCTCTTCTGACCTCCTCGGCACTGCACAATACAGGTGCACTCACATACATGCAGACAATACACTCATACACATAAAATAAAAATAAATAAAATATTTCTTAAATATATATCAAATTTTGGTAATAGAATACATGTGCTATGAAAATGGAAGGGGGACCCTGAGAGCAGAAGGGAAGGGAGGGGCCAGAAAGAGGGAGAGAGACAAAGGAGAAGCAGAATCAGCAAAGCTTGACATGAAGATACCACAAAATACCTGTATGCTAATTAAAAATAAATAAAACAAGCCGGGCGTGGTGGCCCACATTTTTAATCCCAGCACTGCGAGAGGCAGAGGCAGGCAGATCTCTGTGAGTTCGAGGCCAGCCTGGTCTACATAGTGAGTTCCAGGACAGCTGGGGCTACAAGGAGACCCTGTCTCAAAAATAAATAAATAATTTCATATGCCAGTAAAATTAGATTTACCTAAAAATAGTTATCGAAGCAAATATATATTGTTAGGGGACTTTTCTTGGCGGGGAGTGAGATTTTTGCTTGTTTGTGGTACTGAGGATTTAACCTAAGGCCTCACACATGCTAGGTAAGTGCTCTACCACTGAGTTACATCCTGAGTTCCTGAAAAAAAAAAAAAAAAAAAAGACCATATGTATTTAGTCCTTTTGGAGACAGGGTCTCCCTGGAGCCCCAGCTGGCCTGGCACGTGCTATGTAGGCCAGGCTGGCCTCAATCTCACAGAGATCACCTGCCTCTGCCTCCTGAGTGCTGGGACTAAAAGCATGCACCACCACACCAGGCTAAAAACTATTTTTTTCAAAAGCATCTATGGGGCTCAAGACATGGCTCAGGTGTTAGAGAATCTAATTTTACTGCCATAGGAATTTATTTATTTATTATTTATTTATTTATTTATTTATTTTTCTCTGCACAAGCCTTGACTTATAAAAGCTGAGCACAGGGCTGGAGAAATGTTTCAGCAGTTAAACTGTTTGCCATGTGAGCCAGAGGAAGAGTTCAGAGCCCCAGAACCCATGTAAATGCCAAGTGGGTGCAGCAGCCCACCTGTAATTGCAGCCTCAGAAGGCAGAAACAGGGTCCTTTGAGTAAGCTGGCTAGCTAGACCATTCACATCAGTGAGCTCCGGGTTAGCTGAGAGGCCCCGCCTCAGCGAATGAAATGGAAATCAATGAAGATTCCCGACATTAACCTTGGGCTTCCACACACATACAGCCTTGTATACCCACAAGCACGCACATACACACATGGAAACGGAAAAAGAAAAAAACCTAGGCATGGTGGCCCCTACCTGTAAACCCAGCACTGGGAGAAGGTGAGCAGACAGGTTGATCCAGGAGCTTGCTGTCCAGCCAGTCTAGCCAATTAGTGAGTTCCAGTTCCAGTGAGAGGCTTGGTCTCAAAAAAGCACACCTGCACACACATGTATACATACACAAAATCATCTAGGTAAGACTGATATTATTTCAAAATATTTTAAACACCTTATAGGTGGGGCTCAGGAGATGTGGGCAGAGTGCTATTATATGCAAGCATGCATGACCTGAATTCATGTAAAAGCCAAGTGTGGTGGCATTTGTCTATAACCCCAGCACTGGTGTGGTGGGGGCATCACAGGAATGGGAGGCAGTGAGAAAAGGTAGATCCTGGGGGCTTGCTGGTCAGTCAGTCTAAGTACAATGGTGAGTTCCTGGTTCAGTGACAGACCCTGTCTTAAAACATTAGGTAGAAAGCAACAGAGGAAAACACCCAACATCAACCTCGAGCCTCCACATGTGCACAGAGGTGAATGCACTTGCATGCTCATGTGGACACACACCCCCAATCCCGCCCCCCCCATAAAAACCCTTATAGGGATTAAGGAGATAGCTGTTGGTAAAGTACTCGCTTTGCAAACATGAGGACCTGAGTTTGATCCCCAATACCCATGTAGAAAGCAAGTCATGGCAGTACACACTCAGAATTCCAGTGCTGGGAAGAACAGATGAATCTTTGGGGCCCGCTGGCTGGCCAGTCAATCTGGCCTAATCAGCAAGCCCCTGGTCCCAGTGATAGACCCTGTTTGAAAAAAATAAAAGGTGGATGGCTTCTCAGGAACCTTTGGCCTCCACATGTGCCTGTACACAGGAGCATCTGCACATAGATATACACACAAACACCTTCTACATTTTGAGCAACAGGTACTTGGTAAATGATACCTATGTGTGTGGTATCTCAAAGTAGGGTAGGCTCATTGTTCAGTTTTAGGGAAGTGCCTGGAGTGAGCTAAGGAAGGCAAAAGAAAGACACTTGAATCAGCGAGCCTAACCTTGCACACTTCCCAAGAAGACTGACTACTTATTTTTTCCACCATCTTGGCACTTGCAGGGAAGCTCTCTCAGAGATGGGCTTACTTAGCAACAGGAAAAACCTCAAGACTAATTCATCTGACCATGAAGGGTGTGAGAGATGCTGGAATCCGGAAGTAAGGTAGGGTGTGGTGACCACACTCCCTGGACTTCTCAGCTTCTGGTTAGGGCAAGTTGCTGGGCTGTGATTTTGTTCTCCTGAGGCAGCAAAATGAGCAGTGAACCTGAAGGAATTCGGTAACCTGCCTTTCTTCCAACCCATTCAGTCCCCAATCAGGTCTTCAGAGTCCCTCTGACTGATGCTCAGAACTTCAGCTTCTGGCGGTTCCACAATCCAGGGGTGTGTCCAGAGGAAACCATACCATGGATCCAGGGTCCACGCCACTGTCTCATTAATAGCCCAATGACCAGGTTAGGCTAAGAAGGGTGAGGGTGGGGAGACCGAGGGAAGTACTCACTCCTCTCACTGAAACCCATAATGTTTCAGCTCCACTCAGTCGGAGACTAGAAGAGGTTTGAGTCTTACTAGGAAAAGCAGGCCTCAAAACCTGGGCAGTGTGGTGTTCATGGAGTTCAAGATTTGTCTGTTTTTCTTTATGTGTGTAACTTCCAAACAGGCACAGAATCAATGTCTCCAGCGTTCCTGTAGGGGCCCAGGAGGTTTCCGCTCCAACCACCACCCACTGGCAGTAGCCCTACTCCATCACCCCTGCCCGTTCTGCCCTGAGGCAGTCATGGGGACTATTTTTAAGGATGTTCCCTCCCTCTAGCCTGGTCTGGCTGAATCTGAGACATTTCCCCTCTTCCAGATATATGGATCATTCTATTCTCAGTGACAGAAACTTCAGTCTATATTGAGGACGCAGGTGCAAAACAAGATGAAGGCTGAAAGGTCCAAGGAAAAAAGATGGAGACGTCGCCCCTTAGATACTGTTGGCGGGAGGGGACAGAGTAAACACACTGAGCTAGAAGTCGCTTCTGTGCACCGGGGGTGGGAGGCAAGGGAGTTGTTTCAATGCCCTGATTCCCGTGAGACCTGGTGTGTGAGGTTCCTGATAGGGGAGAGGTGAAGGGACCAAAGCACTGGAAAGAACCACAGGCATCCTGTCATGAATGACAGGGGTCCAGAGTAACATCTGGGGAGACACACTTGTTCTCATGGTGAAGGGCCTAGAGTAATCGTGCAGCTTTCTCTTGAGGGGAGAAAGCCACAGGTAGCCTTTGGATCACAGACGAGAAAGGCCGGAGATTCCTGGGACAAGAGGTTGCCTGCTGCCCCAGGCTATGCCACATCTGATCCAACCCAGGGCCCAGAACAGCTGCAGAGAACAGGGCATTTTACAAAGAGTTTGATTTTATTGATATTTAAATATATTAAATATTTCACTGAAATACATGGTACACTACCGTCCCCCATTCCCACAGTGGTTACATTATAAAACCAGAGCCCATGGCTTCCCACACCCTGGCTCCTCCACCAGAGGTGAGGAAAGAGGCAGTGGTAACCCAGGGGAAGGACATGGCTGGCACTGTGGTACAGGGAGCCAGGGTGTGGACAAACCCCTCCCACCCGGCAAGAAGCAGACAGGTCACCCAAAGCTGAGACCTTCCCCCTCTAGCTTACTTAAACACTTTACCCCACCCCATGGCACCAAGTAGTTCCTTCCTATCCAGGGATATGGCTGGGGGAAAGGGGGTCAATCTTCTGTCTGGACCAGCTAGTCTTACCCTCCTCTGCCTCAGCTAATCAAGTGCTCAGTGGTTCATCTGGCTGATACATGGAGAGCCCCAGGAAAGCAGTACCAAGCCAGAAACCAGGCCTCTGCAGGAAGCCGGTGCCAGAAGGAGCATGAAAAAGGGCGAGATTATTACTTGCCCCTTCCATAGCCCCTAAAACCCTTTCTCTTTCTCTCTAGTTAATGTCTAGGACAAAGTGATCTTCAGTCAAAACTTAGGCTTAATGCCCCTGGCTTAAATAGGTACAGACAGGTAACCCAAGGCACCAACTAATTTAGGCCAGAGTCGAGGAGGATACAGGGGGTTAAAGGAAGGCAAGGATAGGAAGGGGATAGAATCCAACCCTCAAAGGCTTCATGGGGACTAGGAGCCAAGATTAGAGTCTAGCTATGCTAGAATCAGGCTGAAGACTTGGGAAAGCCAAGTTTAAGGTTCCCAGGCTCCATCCCCTAGTACCAAAATCTAGGTCCTCAGAAGGATCCCATGCTCCCCCAGTCCAAAAGCATACCCAGGACACAAGCTGAGAAACTCAGGAAATGTCTGAGCCTCTACCCAACAAGCCCCCAACAGTTCAAGTGCAAGGAACACTAGAGCTCTAGCAGGTGCTTGGGTCCCTGCCCTAGGCAAGGAGACAGTCCTACTGCACATGTGGCCCCCAAATGGCACTTAGGGATTTGGCACAAAAAGGACTCCTGTCCCCAGGCCACCCTCCTTTTGCTACCAAACCCCATCCTGCTCCTGTGCAACCCGGCATCTCTCTCCATCCTTTGAGATAGGAAACCCCGTCTTAATGCTAGAAGACAGAGGCCCACAGGAGAGAGGCAACCCTGGGTAGAGCACTGAGGAACTGGAGCGCAAGAACACATACAGACCTGGAAAACAGATATGCACACACAAAAACCATGCACACACAGTTACACGAACACACAGGCTCTCCCCAGTACCAGACTTGGGAGGCCAGGTTTGGAGTCAGGGCTCTTTCTTAGAGCCCTGACCCTTTTCTATTTGGCAACAGAAGGAGTAGAGACGCTCCGTGCCCCCTTGCCAGCAGACAGCAAGTGAGCGTTGGGGCCGAGGGAGCTGATCCTGGCCACACTGGGGCTTCAGATCAGCCTGGCACCATCCTCCTCCCTGGCCGCCTGCACTCTTCGGCACCTGCAGGTGACTGTCCAATTCCTGATCTTCTGATGTCCCCACACACAGGCTTGCTCGCTGGCTGGTCATTTTCACAGTACCAATGAGGCCAGATACCCCTTTCCCTGGAGCGTGCAGGAATTGGGGCTAAATCTGAGCTGTCAGAGGTCCCTTTGATCCCCTTTGGGGACAGATCATGGGCCTAGGATTTGGCAAATGGAAACAGTCCCCTGAAACGTGGTCAGAGAGGGGTCCCCACAGCACCTCCTTCCTCTGCCCTGTGCCTAGGAAGGAGATTTGGTTGGGCCTGGGAGTGCTCAGGACCAGTGCTGGGGATGCAGGCACAGCAAAGGCAAGCATGGAATAGGCATTCCTCATGCCTGCCCTAGTCTTTATACAAAATATTCCCAGGAAAAAGAGGGAAAGGACCCAGAAGTGAGCCTGTCACCCAGACAGGGAAACGGTAGGCATAGCAAGTTGCCATTTTCCTCTCTCAGGCAGGAGAGCTCCATGGCCTCTGCCACTGCCCCTTCAACTAGAAGAAAGGAGAGGGAACAGCTCTACCCCAATTCAGAAAGTCACTTGGATAATCCTCTTGGTGTCCCTTCCTTCACCACTCCGAAGGCAGATGAACATGGTCCAAGCACAGCCCGCTGAGGTGTTCCCTTTTGCCGTCAGCAAGATCTGGAGGCTCAGTGCCCCTTGCCACAGCTCCACCCAGCGAGCACAGAGTCCACTCAATGCCCAGCTCGGTCCCTTCAGCTGAATCTGTAGCTGCGCTCTGCTAACTGCTGGGGCCCCCATTGAGGAAGTAGGTGGTCATCTCCCCCTTGCCCTTCACCTTGACCACCCCTCGACACTCCAGTTGGTAGCCCTTGGCAGCTAGAACCTGGTACAGGTCCGTGGTCACCTGGGGGAGTGGGAGGGGAACCTGCTTAGCCTGGAATCTTTCCTGATGCACTGGCAGAAGCCCAGGGGTTCTCTGTCAGGCTAGCTCCCCTCCCGCCAGTCCCTACCCCACCAGCCACAGAAGATTGCGACCCCACCCCTGTTCTGCAGAGAGACCTGTAAAAGTCCCCTGGACTCATACTCCTCCCACCTCAGCTCACATCCCCCTCACCTGTATGCGGTCAGGGACCCCCGTGCTGTCCATACGACTGGAGACATTCACTGTGTTTCCCCAGATGTCATACTGTGGCTTCCGGGCCCCAATGACGCCTGCCACAACTGGACCCATGTTCAACCCTGAGGTGGAGAGAACAGCAAGAGATTGAGACTAATGGGTGCTCCAGGGCTAGTCCGGGGAATCACCCCATCTGGGACTTTGAGAAGGGCCCAGAGAAAAAATGTGCGAGGACAAGTCTTCTGGTGCTTAAAAAAGGCAGGGAGACTCTGAGCATGATGGCTGAGCCACTCCCCTGACCAAGGTTCCCTTGTTGTCTACTACATGCTTCTCTGAGCCAACTACTAGAGAAAGCAATTTACACTGCTGCTACCCCTACCGTACAGACAAGGTCCTGGGGTGACTTACTAAATAAACCAGTACATAGAGCTGCCGGAAGTCAAACCAGTCTGACTCCAAACACACATATTTGGTCCTTTTGAGACAGGGTCTCCCTGTAGCTCCAGCTGGCCTGGAACTCACTACATGGAGCAGGCTGGCCTTGAACTCACAGAGATTCGCCTGCCTCTGCCTCCCGAGTGCTGGGATTAAAGGCGTGCGCCACCACACCCAGCTCCAAACTGCCTTCTACCAGTTCCTAGGAAAAGTACCTCTATCAGACTGACCACACATACATTTTTTAAAATACTTTATTATTTTTATTTTATGTGTATGAGTGTATTGCCTGCATGTGTGTAAGTGCACCCGTGTCATGCAGTGCCCACAGAGGTCAGAAGGAGGCGTCGGATTCCCCCAGAACTGGAGTTATGGATAGGTTGTTAGCCACCATGTGGGTGCTGGGAATCAAAGCCGGGGAACCCAGGTCCTCTGCAAGAGCAGTCAATGCTCTTAACTGCTGAGCCATCTCTCCAGCACCACACATAAAATTTTTTAAATAAACAAAATATTTTAAAAGGAGGGATAACATGAGAATTAAAATGTGTTCAGAACACATTTTTCTTTTCTTTTAAGAAAAGACCCTAGCATACAGTATACTCAAAACAAATAGTCTTTGTCCTTAATATTAAACTTGACATAGAGGGGGAGACCCTACAGGCGTCCTACCCAACCTGCACCCTCAGTTTCACCCACACACTGTCCCAGGAAAACCTGCCAAGAACCAGGTCCTCTCACCAATCTTCATCTGGAAATTGTTGAAGGAGTGCTCATTGATGTGCTTCATCTGCTCCATGAGTCGCATGGCATAGTCTGCCAGGGCAGTGACATGGGAGCGGCCCACCTGGTCGTAGGTGCTGGCGTTCAGGCCAGAGGCAGCCATGTAGGTGCTGCCAATCGTCTTGATCTTTTCTAGCTGCCGGAATCTCTCCTCACTGATGATCTGGACAACATGAGGTGATCTGTGAGGCCAAACCCAGGTCTACCCCAGAGAGCTGTCCTTGCCGTTCCTTGGCTCCCTTCCTCCCTGCTCCCCTGCCTCAATACTCCCCTCCTTTTAGTGGATGAGCTCCCTTACAATCACTGCTCTCAGTGAAGGTCTGAGAGGTCAAGAAAATCCAGGACCCTGGGCAAGGGGTTGGTCATATAACTTCAGAAGGTCAACTGTGATGTCACCTCACAGGACACAGGACAGCAGAAACACTCTGACCCTCGCCTTTTGAGGAACTGTGTCCCAGAGTGAGGAAGGGACTTTCCTCCAGAATAGTGAAAGGCCCATCCTGACCCGGGTGCTCAGGACACTTCCTCACAGCTTGCTCTCATGTTCACGATTTGGGAGACCATCTTGCCTGCTTGGTCTTATGGCTTTGCCAGGAGACTGCTGTCTTCCGTCTCAACATCACCTGACACTTATCCTGCCCTGCAGAGCCTCATGTTCTCCTTTGTTTCCCAACAATGATGACCCTGCCCCACTGAGGCTGACCCCATTGCTACCTGTGACAGGGCAAGCGACAGGGGTTTATGTCCAAACCTACCCTTACCCCTTGCCATATCTCCGGCTTCCACCAAAGCTCCTTCTCTTCTCAGTACCACCCACCCCTTCCAATCCATGGCTTCCTCACCCAAAGTTTCTACACATCCCCGGTTCCCAAATCTCCCCCGCTCTGACAGCACGAGCCAATGGACAAGTACCTCATCAAAGTCTGCGATGATCTCATTGAGCAGCCGCAGGCACTCGACACCCTCATTGTTTGCCTCCAGCTCCACATAGAACTCAGAGAAGTTGGCAATGGAGGCAAACATAACAGCCACGCATTCACACGACTGGTAGTAGAGTTCATCATTGCGGTGCTCCCGGGCCAGAAAGTGGGCAGCCACATCCTTGGGCAGAATGTTATGCAGCAGGCGTCGGTTGTATGCCTGGAGCTCTTCCATCTCCTCCTTCTCCCCTGTTGCCTGTGGGCACCATATCTATCACCCATTGCCCAACATTCACAAGGGGTGGGTGCAGTGGCCAAGGCCTGAAGTTGGGCATCAGAGAGAACCACGTGGAGAAGGAAGGACACAAGCAGATAAGGCCTAAAGAACAGGCAAAGGGGTGTAGGGAGCGGGTACAGGAGAGGTAGGGACAGGAGATGCACTCAGAGAAGGTATGGAACCAGGGTGGGCTTAGGGCAGCCTCAGCCTTAACCATCTAGCGAAAGCTGCATTTCTGGCTAGCCAAAGCTCTGTCCGCAGGATCCCCCTCTCCCGCGAAGGTCCAGCCAAGGCACCTGTAGTTTCCAGAGGAAGTCCAGGCGGGCAGTTGACTCCACCTGCTGGGCATGCAGATACAGTGCCAGCGCAAAAACCAGCAGAATGACAGGGGCCATGTATTTGAGTGCGACCCTCCCTACAGCTGAGCTGAAAATAAGCAGAGACAGGCTTGGTGTCTGAAGGAACCATCTGCCAGCCTCATCCTTTGCTGCCCCAGAGTCCTCACTTACCAGTCCAGCCCATCAAAGGTCTCATTGGAAGAAGCCCTGGCAGGAAGATACAAAAATCACTGGTTGCTGCGAGGGGCATGGGAGGGAGACAGAGACTGAAATGCCAGGCCCTCTAGTGAGGCATCAGGCAGGGGGCTTTCCACAGGTAAAAGCTTAAGAGCAAAAGTTAAAAGAGCCTCTACTCTGAGTGGAGCTTCTGTACTGACAACTATATGACCTGGGACAAGGTGTTTAAAACTCTCTAAGCCTCAGTTTCCTCATCAGTGAACCAGGGTTCATATCGTATAAACGTTTTAGCATGTGCCTGTCATGCCATAAGGCTTCATAGATATTCATCATTGGGATATTTACCACTACCCTGCTATATAGGTAGTACTGACATTTTACAGATGAGAAAATGGAGGCCCAGAGGTTAACTCATCTGTCCAAGGTTACATGGCTAATAAGCAGTAGATCAAGCATTCAAACCCAGTAGACTCCAGAGGCTCTTCCTACCACAACAAGCTATGCCCACATATCACAAGGAGTTGGGTTTTGCAGGGGAAAAGCCTCTATGGGTCCCAGGCAAAGACTTCAGGGAAGAGTCAGGGGGTTTGGCTCCTAGCCAGAGCTCTGCCACTAAGCAGCCCTAGGACCTATATGTGGTTAAGACCGTGGATAGGAAAGCACCGTGAAAATGTGACATTTTGTTTTGTTTTTGTTTTTAATGCCTGATGACACAGGGATTTCCCACAATTGGGGCTTCTTTAGAGTAACCAATTGGTCACATGCCAGGATCTGCTCCATTGCCTCCCTTTCTCTCTCTCAGGTGAGCTGTACATGACAAGAGCAAAGGGGCTCGGTACCAGAGACTCTCAGTGGCCCAACAAGGTCAGGGAGCTGCCTGGGGCGTTAAAGGGACTGAGAATTAACTTACAAGCCATGGACACCAAGTAGTAGATCATAGTTGTCAAAGATGGTGGCTGGGGGACCCAGAAGAAGCAGCACCAAGTAGATGAGCCCCAGGACAAAGGTCATAGCCAACTTGCCAATGCTGCTGATATGCAGGAAGACAGAGCTGGCCAAGAGACTCAGCAGCATGTTCCCGATGAAGTACTGGGGGGAGCAGGGATAGCAGAGGCAGCATTGGGTGACAGTAGAGACCATGGCATCTAGGGCAGGGAGGGCCCTGCACTCCCTTGTCTGACCTGTCCTCCCTTCCACCACCCTCAAACAAACCCCAATGCCCTTCACCCTCCATGCCCAGTTATACCACACCAGGGCCCCTGGTTGTTCCTGGAGTCAGGGACATTGGTAAGTTCCTAATTCCCTGGTGCCCATCACCAGGCCTGGCACAGAGGGGCCAATAACTGTGCCAGGACACCCCCCTCTGCCTGAACACTGCTTGGACACCTCAGGGAAGCTGCAGGTGGGTGCGGTGCCCTCACACAGGGGAGCATCCAGGCCCAGAGAGTAATTGAGCTGTTGTAGGTGGCAGGTGGTGATGTCAGCGGGTGTTAAATTCAGCATCCGGGCTGCGCAGGTCCGTATGGGGGTGTGATTACAGGTGAACTGCAAAAGTTGGATGTGTATCAGGGTAACCAAGGAGGGAAAGGATTACAAGGGCCAAACCCAGGTACCTTACACTCCATGCACCAAAGTTCTCAAGGATGACAAGAAAGGGGAGACAAAGTGAGAAGTAGAGTTAACCTCCCCCTCCGCTGGGACGGTAGGTTCCCTAAAGGTAGGAAGCCCCCAGTCCTCAGAACGGTTCCCAGCACAGAGCAGAGGTGGGAGAATTACCATGTTGGCGATGGCAGAGATGAACACAAGCAGAACTGAAAATATGCCAACTGCTGTGCTATGCACCCGTGAGCGGACGATGCTGCGAGACAGGCGCTGTAGGACCTTCGGGAAGAGCTGGATAGCAAGAGGCCAACAGTTAGAGGCAACATTAGTTAAGAAAGAAGATTAACCAGGAACAGGGTTCAGCAAGAGGCATGGCCTTCCCTTCCTTTTGCTACGGGATCCCCCTCCTTCCCCAACAGTCCCAGGGAAGTCCCCCTACTTACAGAGCCACAGGAGCACACAGCACAGATCAGCACAGTGACCAGCAAGAGCAGGAAGAGACCGGAATAGACCCCGAGCATCAGCATGGAGCTGGCATAGGACAGGGCCAGGGAAATCAGGAAAAACTGGGTATCCTAGTCCCATCCCCAGAACAAGCAGAGGTGCAGACCTCAGGGACCAGGGGCTTGCATGGTTTAGGAAGGTTCGGGGATGTGGTTAAAAGGGTCAGGACTCACTGTGGGAATATGAGGAACTGGATGAAGCAGATGAAGCAAAAGACCAATAGGGCACAGGCGACGTAGGCTCCAAAGCGGGGATCAACCTTCCTTGAGTACTGAGGGAAAAGAGGCTGAGCTGGGTGCTGGACCCCACCCTGCGGAAGGCCGGGACAGCAAGGACAGGACACTACCAGGGGGCCTTGGGAGGAGGAGTCATTGGCCTAATTTATATGAATCTCCACCTCACACTGTGGTCTCCCCTCATAGCCAAAACCACCTCCTACTCCTTCACACGCACTCAGCCTCCTGGTCAGGACCTCCCTCCCTTCAGCCCCCAATCTTTTGCCCTTAGAGCCCCCAAACCTTCTTCTCGAGATCTTCTCTCTGGAAAGTGAGCAGGAACCGGCGTACATGGTCCTTACGCAGTTGGTCAATGCTACGGGCATCGATGGCACGGCCCAGGAACTCGTCCACTTCATCTTCAGGGTTCAGGGCATCTTGGGCACCCCGGCTGAGGACAGAAGACAGGCTTTACAAGGTGCGTGAGCAATGCCACATGATAAACAATGAAAAGGGCAGGGCTCAGACAGCAGCCAAGGAAGGGCACGTGAGCCATGTGCTTTCATATATTACAGCTGCCACATCACAATCCCAGCTGCAAATGCCTTCTCCCTCCCTCCCTTCAACACTCCCGGATAGCCGGACTTACTTGTCTTTGCTGGAATCATCAATGCCCTGGAGAAAGGGACAGAATGTGTAAGTGAGGTGAAATGCTGGCCACTTTCACCTCTAGCTCCTTCCCATCTCAGTACTATGCTGAGGGTGTCTCAACACATAATTTGGGAGACTTAGGGCTCTTTGGATGAAACCTTCCCCGGACCCCAATTTTACAAAGCACACGTGGAGACGGCAGCCATAGGAAGGAAAGGAACACAATGTTGGGGGAGACAAGAACGGGAGGCAGCCAGGTCATGGTACAGAGGGCCCCTCACCATCTGGCGGAATGCCTTGGAGTCCTTGGTCCGGGAGAAGGCACGATCAGGCACCCAGCGTGGCATCAGCCCTTCCAGGGAGTTGGCCCTTGTCCGCTGCAGCTTGGCCAACATAGCCTTCTCCTCTTTCTGTGTGGGCAGCACGAGTACAGGCTCAGAAGCGGGACCCCAAGAGGACCTTTGCTAACACCTCCCCATTTTTCCCTTTCCCTGCTTGCTCCTCCCACCAGCCCTGCCCTGGCCTGACCCTTTTCTGGCTGGCGCCCAATATGAGGAAGGTCTCAATGCGCTGCTCCTTGAGGTATGCATTGCGCTCACCACCGCGACCCGGCTCCACCTCATAATCGCCATTCAGGTACTGCAGTGTGGCCCGAGTGATGTGAATACGGCTGTATGGGACAAGGAAGTAAGACCTTGGCTCTCCCACTCCCCCCCCACACCCCCTAGACCCTACCACTCACCCAGCACGGCCCCCAGCCTCCATGTGGTTGGCCAGGGTCACATCATTGGACCACACATCAAACTGCCATTTCCGCAGACCAAGAACACCACAGTGTACACGTCCACTGTGGATGCCCACACGCATGTTCACATTTACACCTGTTACTTCACGCACCAGCCTGGGAAGATGCAATATTAGATCAGCTCCAGGCAGTCTTCTCATCCCCAAGTCAAGAACCCAAGCAAGGGTCAGCGAGATGGCTCAGCGGGTAAAGGTACTTGCTACCAAGCCTGACGACCTGACCCACAGGGTAGAAGGAGAGACCAACTCCAACAAGTGTTCCTCTGACCTCCACACTTGCACTGTAGCAGGTACACCCACACAAACATACACACACAGTAAGTAAATATTAAAAACATTTAAAAAATAAAGAACCCAAACAGCCCAGGCAAAGAGAAGAGAACAGCCTTGGTAGACATGGGCAAGAGGCTGCCCAGGGCTCAAGGGCAAGGGGGTGAGAAACTATGTTCCACAGGGGCCCCCTGCATCTTGTGGGATTGAAAGGTTGTCTGTATTTTCTACAGCCCCAGACCCCCCCACTGCTCTAGCCACCTGCACTCTCCAGCTGGCTGGAGTCCAAGGGAGAGCATGGGTGGGTCTTCACACAGATTGGAGAAAGATCCACTCCCCTTCCCAGTGATAAATAGATCTCAAAGACAGAGTCAAGACTGGGAAGATTCCTGAGGACACATCAGAGTAGGAGCAGTCTGGACACCCACAGTTCCAGGAAGCCTGGGAAGGGGGCACTGCTTACGAGATGGCCTCGATCATGTCCACCCCCATCTCCACACAGCAGTGGGCATGGTCTGCCCGGGCCTCAGGCAGCCCTGACACACAGTAGTAACAGTCTCCTAAGATCTTGATCCTCAGACAATGATTTTCCTAAAGGGGAAGAGGTGGAGGATCACCTTTACTCTCTTGACCACCCAGCACACCCGACCCACCACCTTAACTGCAACCTCTGCTCCCACACCTCCCAGCTGCCACCAGCAAAGCTGTGCTGTCATCACAGTTGTCACTGTCCCCAAGCCCCAGCACCCTCACCGCAGCCAGCTTGTCAAACCGGGCAAAGAGCTCGTTCAAGGTCATGACCAGCTCCTGTGCAGTGCACTGGGAGGCCAGGCTGGTGAAGCCCTCAATGTCCGCAAATAGGATGCTGTGGATGATAGCAAAGGACAGATGGCCCTCACAGCCTTCAAAGACTCTGAGACACCCTGCAACCATCTTGGCATAGTTTCCCATCCCCACCCTACCTGACATTATCGTGCTTCTGGATGTAGATCTTATGGAACATCATGTCTTCTTTTTTTGTGTTGATGTCTTCTTTCATCTCCATGGCAACGTGCTGGGGCAACACCGATAGCAGCAGCCGCTCCTAGACCAGTGGTTCCAACCACTATGCTCTTTGCTTCCCACTTTGACCCCTCTGGTTCCTTCCACATTCCCAGAGCCCTCCTATATCTCCCTGATGACCTGAGCTTCCCTTCCAGACCTTGGTCTGACCCTGCCCAATACAGCCCTCAGAAGTTATCCACCCTAGCTCTCTCTGACCAACCTCCTCCAAATGCACCCCTGTCTACTCCCTCCTGCTCTTGGACAGGTCAGGACCCCAGTGTCACAGGGCTTTTCTGATGCACGGTACAGGAGACCATTCACACTGCACTCCACAGACCTGGACAACACAGTAGGTCCAGTCTGCAAGTTACTTGGGGATGAGGAAGGAGAACACCCTAGCTGAGGGAGGCAGCCCCCACCTGCTGGCGATTCTCATGCTGCAGGTGCAACCGAGCCTGGATATAACCTCGGGTCTCCCGAAAGGCCTGGCGCTGAGACACTTCAGCAGGGTAGTGTGTGCAGATGCCAATGACGTTGGTGCAGAGGAAGAGCACCATGTTAGCACCGAGCTGTAGGAAGGCGGCAGAAGCAGGTGAGTGACCACTTCCCCAGCACGCACACATGCACACAACCTGCTGGGCTCTCTCAGGACACACTCGTGCCTCAGGCAAGAAGTGAGAGTCCTACACCCTGCCTGTTCCATCTCTGTAATACATCTCATTTCTTACAGAACTCCAGGGAGATCCCAGCCTTACCTGATCATTTCACAACTAGAAATGTGAGCTTTTTACAGCTTCAGGGGCCAGGAACACTAACCAATCATGGATCCAACCGCAGCGCCCTGCAATCCCCTGTCCCACAAACACCCCTAACAAAAGATAAATGCTCCCCCTGCATTAGTTCTTAACGAGACAGCACCAAGGAGACCTGAGTTTTCCATCCTCCTCTGAGTGAACCAGAACAGGCCACTTCATATCTCTGGGCCTCTATCTGCTCATCTAATAACCCAAACAGGAAGAATAAGTTCTCTAAAGCCCCCCCACGCCCTGCAGACTGAATAACAAGAATAACCACCATTGGATTTTGTTGTTTGTTTTGTTTTTGAATTTTTGAAATATGGTCTCATTATGTAGTGGTGAGCCTCCTGCCTCAGACTCCCAAGTGTTGGCACCAGATTTAAGCCACAACACCCAGCTCCATTATTACTATTATTACTGAAGCTAGTTGGCTGGCCACTTGAAGTGTTACTGAATTCTAAAGATGCTTACCATACATTAATCAATGTATTTCTTACAAGTCTATGAATCAGGTAACCGAATCCCATTTCAACACTGAGGGAGTCAGCACATAGAAGCTCAGCAACTTGACCAAGATCACATAGTTGGTTCTGATCGGCATGAGACTTGAGTCCTGGAAAGTCAGGCTGAAATGCTGTGCCCTGGTCCTGCTGTTTAGTGCATCTAGGTTTTTAGTAGCCCTCATTTCTCTTTTTTTTTTAACTTATGTTTTATGTGTATGAGTGTTATGTCTGCATGTATGTAAGTGCATCCGTATCATGCAATGCCCAAAGAGGTCAGAAGAGGGTATCAGATCCCCTGGAACTAAAGTTATAGATAGTTGTTAGCTGCCATGTGGATGCTGGGATTCAAACCTGGGTCTTCTGCAAGAGCAGCCAGTACTCTTAACTGATAAACCATCTTTCCAGCCCCAGCCCTCCTTTCTCCACTGACTAACTCTTGAGGGCTAGCCTCAGAGCCCAGACTTGGCATTCTCTGTCTCTCTCTGTCTCTCTCTCTGTCTCTGTCTCTGTCTCTTATACACACAAACACACACACAATACCACACACACACACACACACACACACACACATGCACAGCCCTGAAGGACTTCACACCTAAGGCCCCACCCTGAGCATAGCCATCCTAATCACCAACAGCAGAATTAACTGGAGCTCAGGCCCAAGGGAACAAGGGAAGCTGCCTCAATGTTGCTGGAAACTCAGGGGTTAACATGGCACTTGCAGCTCCACCCAAGTTAGATGGGGCAGGGCTAGGGATGGGGAGAAGGAAGGGAAAGCTCACCAACTGCCCTGAACCAGAACTAGTCTTGCAGACTTGGCCAGGACATTCAATCTTTGAGACCTCGGTTCCTCTGTGTAAAACAGGTCTGGCTAACCCGGAGCATTTCCAGCACTGACCCTCTAGGACTGGCCTCCAGCTGCCCTTCCCAGTCCACAGGCCCCAGATTGCCTAGGCAGAGCTTCCCCTCTCAGCAATAGGGGTGAAGAGGGGGCATACTATCTCCCTTGGGGGCTTCTAAGAATAGCCCCCAGTGGGGGAGAAGGAGGGGGCAATCCAGGCAACTTCCCTTCCTGGCCCCAGGAGCCCAAGAGGAAAATGTGAGTCATGGTGGAGGGAAGGGGAAGAGGGATAGGAGACTGAAATAACTCTCCACAAGCACATCCCTGTCCACTGTGAGAACCAGGGCCCTGGAGGGGACCCCACCTGAGCAATGTCACTGAGTGAAACTGCACATGTGTCTGAATGAGTGGATGGGAGGAAGGGTCCTTCCCATGAGCATGAGTGGTGGTGGATCTGGGAAAGGGATGCCCAAGGGGGCCACAAGCCCCTACTCCATCAAGGAACCCACAGGCCCCAGTGGGCACATGGGATTGTTCTCAGCTCAGAGAGGCTACATGGGCAACACAAGCCCCGCAAATGGGCAGAGCAGCAGTTTTCTCCAACCATCCCAAGAACGTGTCTACAGAGACCCACTGGGTGAGACTGGAGTCAGGCACCCTGGGCAGGTAGGAGACTGGCAGTTCTGACCTCCCAGGCTGAGCCTCCCCAATCAAGCACTGGGCCTGGCTCTGGGCACCATGCCAGCTGAGAGCAGGGAAGAGCCACACACCCACCTTCTGGCAAGCCAGGGAGGAAGGGGGAAGGGAGACACCGCCCCTAAGTTCCTTCTCCCCCAAAAGGACAGTCCAGCCCCAAATCCCCACTTCATAGGCAACCTGGAAGAGAATCTGGGAGCTGGCACTGATGGACCTGGCCCTTTAAGAAGCATGACAGTGCCCTATGGGCACGTGCTCCACAAACAAACCAGCTATAAAGTTACTGTTAAAAGGTACGCTCTGTTCTTCGAGCATAGTCTGGGAGGGGAAGGGCATCATGCCAGAGAACCCAGCTTCTCACCCTGGGAGCCCCAGGCAACTTTCTGTTTGTGAGGCCATGGTGGGCTACAGGCCACAGCCCTTGGCATAGAGAGGCTGGTCCCTCCCACAGTGAGCAAGGCAGAGGATCCAGCACCCACAATGGCACTGACTAGAGGCTGTGCCTACAGCAGCCTGCTCTCTACTCCCTGGGCAAGGAATGATGTAAGGCCATAGACCCCAAAAGCATGTCTCTGAGAAGCCCTTACAGGATCTCCCATAGCTTACTGCCCTCAGGTGAGAACCCTGCCTAGTCAGGTCTATTCCACTGGAAAGGTGAGGTCCTAACAGCAACACCATGAGGTAAATACTATTTAGACCCAGTTTTACAGACTGGGAAAGTGAGGTCAGGAGAGTTGGGGTCAGTTGTCTAAGATCCCATGCAGTAAAATGTGGCCCCTTACCAGGCATATCTGCCTGCAACCAAGCCCACCTGGCTACTGGACCCCAGCAACCACACTCAGAACCAGAGGCAGTAGCTGGCTTAAGCGGAGAATCCGAAGGCAGGGCTGCCAGGCCCCCGGTACCCAGTGTACAAAGGTAAGTCACCAGACTTCAGTGCCCCTTTCTTCTCCAGTCCAACCCTATTCAAACCACCCTTAACCCAGGAAAGATCTGACCCCAGTTCTCAACCTTCTCTGTCCTCTCAGAAATGGCCTTGGTCCCAAACAGAGCTCCTCCTTCCCTTACCAACTCCATCCCAAACCTCATCCCTTCACATCACCACCTAGGGCTGCTCCTCAGGGATGACACCAGGGCTTGAGTCTCGGATACCAGCAAGGACTCAGAGATGGAAGACCTGGACAGTGCATGTCTCCGCATCTGAAATCCTACACTGTGTCTGCAGGCGGCACTGCTTCTACAGGCCTAGGCCAAAGAGCCAGAGACAGGCCTGTGATAACACAGTACAGGCTTGGTCCCAGGACCCTCCTTCTCAGCAGTGTCCACTGATGCAGGTCCCAAACAGAGACCCACCCCTGAAACCTGGCCTCCGGGATATAGCCAGATATCCCTGCACCAAGTCCCTCCCCAGCCAGCCTCCTTCCCACTCGGCACAGTGCACTCTACTGTACCCACCTGCTTCCAGAGGAAGGGATCACCACGGTTGAGATACCAGGCCAAAATCAAATGTAAGGTGGAGAGGCCCAGGCCGCTGAGCACAGCAGCTCGCATCCGGATGGGCAGGAGCGTGTAGGTGACATAGACAAAGAACACAGGGCACCAGAGGCCTGCAGAAGGGCTGTGTGGGTTCGCTGCCACGGCACCCCCGACCTGTACAACTGCCAGGATGCCCAACACCACATAGCTCACCACCCACATGGAGTCCTGGTGGAAGCTTTGTCGGTTGCACACCACCATGAGTGCCACAAAGAGGGCAGCGGCACAGGTCAGCAGGGCCACATAGGCGGGCTGAGGCGGAGCAGGTGCGGCGTGAAAGGTCAGCAGCACGACGGTGAGCAGCACAAGCACTGCCATGAGCAGTGTGAGGCTGCTCTGGTTCATCTGGAAAAAGTAGCGCTGGTACAGGCGCTCCAGCTTGGCGGAGCGGAACTGCTTCGACTGGAACACTCGCACCAGATGGTGCCAACAGGATCGCCCACTCCTAGGTGCCACATCAGGTGCCACTTCAGCCGTCCCTACTGGCGTTGTCACCTCAGTGTCATCGAAACCCAAGGCCACTGATCGCAGCCCCAGCTCCATACCCCTGCCTGGGCCGGCTCTCCTGATGAAGGCCTCGTCCTGCCAGGGACACCGAGTAGGAGCCGCAGGGGTGGGGCTGGGTGGCTCTGCATCCTTGAAGCAGCTCATGTAGCAGGGTGCACAGAAGCCACTGGCCCGAGTCCCATGTCGTGGGCGCTTCTGCCCATTTCGTTCACCCCAAGCTGTTTTTCTTTCATCCACTTTGGGAACCAGGAGGCCGCTAAACCATGACATGCTCCTGGGAGGAAAGGCATGAGATGTCAGTAGCTCCGCTGGGGCCGCTGCCACCGCAGGAGCTTATTCACTGTGCACCCCCACAGCATTCGTACCACCCTTATAAAATTACTCTGAGGTTGGGGCTGAAGAGATGGCTCAGCAGTTAGGAACATTGGCTATTCTTGCAGAAGTGCCAGTGCCCTATGGGCACGTGCTCCACAAACAAACCAGCTATAAAGTTACTGTTAAAAGGTATCCAGCACCCACATGGCAGCTAACAACTGTCTGTAACTCCAGTTCCAGGGGATCCAGCAGCCTCTTCTGTCCTCCTCAGGCATTGCACGACATGGGTGCACTTACCTGTATGCAGGCATACATGCATACGCGTAAAATAAAAACAATAAAGTATTTGTCTTTAATTACTCTGAGGTAGGCAGTAGCATCCCCACTCAACAGGTAAGGAACAGAGACGCAGGTAGAAAACATACCCAAGACAGCAACCACACAATGGGGGGGGATCCAAGAGTCTAAGCTTGACCTATCTGATCCCCAAAGCCAATACACTTAATAATTCACCTCTTCCCTAAAAGTTAGTATTGACTTCTTGGTGGTCACAAACTCAGGTGTCTTGGGGCTGGGGATTTAGCTCAGAGGTAAAGCACTTGCTCAGCAATTGCAAGGCCCTAGGTTTGATCCTCGGCTCCAGAACAAAAAAAAACAACAAAAAAGACAAACTCAGGTATCCATGTCAAGTAGGAAAACAGTCCACAGTTCAGGACAATGAGAGAAACAGACTACAGACTGATCCTGGGGACAAGGGCCACCCACCACCAGCAGACCGGTGCCACTGGTGTGCCAATGAGGCCTGAGCCTCTGGGTTTTTCAACAGAAGCTAAAAGAAAAACTTGGATTTCAACATGGTATCTCCCAATTTTTAAGCATTGGCATCTAATCCATATTTTATGACCCTACTTACAAGCCAAATAAATCATGTGCCTGTGAACTACAAATTAGTGACCTCTGAAGCGAGGCGTGGTGGATCTCTGTGCCAACCTGGTCTACATAGTGAGTTCCAGGACGGCTGGGGCTACAGGGAGACCCTGTCTCAAAAAGACCCCCCCAAAAAAGTTACACATAAAGAAAATATAAATAAAAAATTAGTGACCTCTGTACGAAGGGGGATCTCCACATCCTTCCTCAGCGCACACGCACACACACACACACACACACACACACACACATACACACACAGAGCACACTTCAAAGGGGATAGCTCAACTTCTCCCACAGGTCACAGCTCAAGTGTTACTTCCTCAGGGAAGATTTCCCAACCCCACCCCAAGACTAAGTTTGGTCCAGTTTACCTCTGTACATTTCCTCCATAGTACTTACTGCAATTATAATTAAATCATTCCTCTTTTAATGTAGGCTTCTATCCCTATGACTACAAGTGTTGTAAGGGTAGGAATTATCCACATTTTGGTCAGCACTTTATCTCCAGAGTCAAGTACCAGGCCTGGCTTACAGAAGGAACTCAGTAAATGCATAATGAAAAGATAAAAAGCGGAGGAGTGTGGTCCAGTGGTGAGTGTCTGTCTAGAATACAGACCTTGGATTCAATCCCTAGTACTGCAAACTTTAAAAAAAGGTGAGGGGGGGGCAACGAGTAACCTCAAGGGCATGGGTATAAAGCAGTCAACATGAAATAATAGTTAATAATGACAATCCTGACTCCATTTTCCTCACTGCACCCAGTCACATTAGCCTGTCTGCTGTTCCCCAATACACCAAGCTCAGCCCAGCCTAGGACCCTAGTACTTGCTGTTCCCATCAGGAACAGGAGCTCCTCCAGGTCAGGCCCAGAGGCCCTTATCAGTGTGACTCTTACCACCCTTTTAAAATAGCAACTCCCTTTCCTGGGGTTCCCTATCTCTCTTACCAGCTTTATAATTTTTCTTTCTCCACAGCTCTTATCAGCAACTGCCATTCTATCATTTTTATTTGTTCATTGTTGCTAACTGGAATGTCAACTTGATGAAGGCAAAGATTGGGCCTGTTTTGCTTACTGTGGTACCTACAGCACCCAGTAGGACCTAAATATTTTGCTGAGATGGGTGGTGGTTGGATAGATCGTACTTTCTCTGCATCATAAACTTTTCAAGATCTTTTCACATGCCTAATTTCATCTGGTCTTCATCAGTACCCCATGAAGCTGGTCCTATGGCCATCCGGGGAAACAGGACAGGTTTGAAAGAAACAAAAGCTGGCATCCAGGGCAGATTTTATGGCTGAGCCAGCTTGTAGAGATCCTGGACAACCAAGTAAGTCTTAGCTCCTACATTTCCCAGAAGAATATGCCTTGCACTAGGCTGGAGAACTCCATGACACTGCATTAAGGTTCTCCTGGCCGAAAACAAGTCTAGAGATGAGCATAAAAGCCACATCATTCATGGGTGACACCACCAAGACTACACTCTCCCATGCCTACAGGGCACCCTGAGGGGCCCCTCTGTCTTATGCCTGCTGAGCTGGCAGCACTGACATTTGTACTCACTAAGGAACCTGAGAGGAGCTTACCCAGCACCTGCCCCAGGTGGCCACAGAGCCAGATGCTCAGGAGCAACACTCCAAGCAGGCACTGGAGACACCCAAAGCAGAAGGCAAGCTGGAGACTTCTCTGTACACCCCAAAACTCCATTTCTGGGACCTCCTCAGTCAAATCCTGCATTCCTTCTATAGCTATAGAGCAGTGGGTCCTTCAACTTACCACCACCAGCACCATCGAGAAAGACATATCAGAAGTACAAGACTTCTGGTCCTGCTGGCATTCGGAAAAGGTCACCAAAGAAAGCCTGGCTCTTCAGAATACTTCATTGGAAGCACAGTGACCTTTTGGCAAGACCAGGTTTCAAACCTTAAGAGTGATTATTTGCTAGCTACCCTGCCTTGGACAAGTTGCTACCCTCCCTGTGTCAGTTTCTTCATTAAAAATCAGAGTGTAATGGTCCTGAAGAGAGAATTTAGTAATACCTGCCATATAATACACAATAAATACTAGTTCTCCCCCACCTTACCACAATTTGAACCCAAACCTCTGTCAATGTCCAAGAGACGGAAGGACGAGAGTCCTGAGCAAGGGCACGCATTCCTCCAGCCAGTCAGATGCCTGGTTCTATTAGCCCGTGTCCACTGCTCTCAGTTCTTTTAGCCCCTGTGTCCACTGCTCTCAGTCCGCAGAGTGAGCAGTGTCCCACCACGTCCCCACGCCCCACCCCATACACCATGACATTTTGCTTCAGCCTCACCCCATTCTCTGTCCCTTTTGCTGTTCTTATCTCCTCCCCATCACCACCATCCCAATTACCCCCACCACCTCCACCGCCCCCATTACCCCTACCCCCACCACCACCCGCCCAGGTCTATGTTCCCAAAGGACCTGTTTCTGGACATGTTCCCAGCCCCTGGAAGTACACTGCAGCATCTGGCTCATACTCACAGAGGAAGAGGGCAGACATTATCAGGGGAACACATGACCCTTCTAAGAACACTCTGACCCCCCCCAAGGGGATAGCTTCAGAGCTCTGTAACTGTCCAACCAACTGCAACTATCCCACCCCTGGGCTCCACTCCAGGCACTGCCCACCCTGGAGAACTTGCTGGGCTCACAGCACTCCTCTATGCCAGGCTAGGATGTCAGGAAAAAGAAGGGACTCTCCCAAGCCTCAAAATATCTCTGTGTGGTTCCTCCACCCTCCCCATTCAGGCACCCCTCACCATGAACTCCCCAGTGCAGACCACCATCCCTTCCACCTTTAGGCTCTTGAGCCTCTGACCTCCTCCTCCCCTGAGTCTTGATCCCTTTACTCTCTCACAGATTTGCTGCTCCAGGCACTACAGGCTCCCACAGCCGCAGCCATGTTCCATTTAGCACCACAGTCCCACAGTCCCAGGCCCAGCGCCTCCCAGACCTCAAGTCCCTCCCAAATCCTGATCTTTCAGTCTGAGACCAGAGTCTGGAGACCAAGGCCCAGCCTCAAAGACGGATCTGCCCACTGCTTTGCCCAACCCTTTTCCTGGCCAACTCTTGGCCCTCTCATCCCCAGGGCCCATCTGCCTCTGCCCTTGTTGGCAAAAGGAGGTTTCAGGGGTTTAAAAGACTTCAGAAAGTTCATGGTGAAGACTATGCCCAGAGGTAGGCCCAACAGTGCCAGCACTGCTCCCCATGCTGGGACCCTGCTCTCTCAATTCCAGGCCTTTCCAGATGTAGAGGAGCCTCCTCAGGGCCTGCATCTGTAGACTCAGCACAGCCCTCCCCAGTCCTGGCTCTCTCTAATGACTCCCACAGCCAGCTCCAGCCATACAACCCCCCTACCCCCCCAGGCCTGTCAGATACAGGGGCACTCTGGGCAGACACAGGTACTCGGAAAGGCTCTCTCACCACCTAATCCCACCTGGCTTTTCGGTCAGTCTGCCCCCCTGCCCACCCTGCAACAAGCCTTGGGAAGTAGGGACTGATACCACCCTTTCATCCCAAAGGTTCAGGGTGAGGGCAGGGAAGGGGACTCCCGCAAATGGAGAGCGTCCCTCCCCTCTAAACGTAATCACACTACTCCAAACTCGCCCCACAGCACGGATGCCAACCCCTGCGGGCACCCCAAGCATTCTTCCCTGCTCTGGACAAGCCGCAAACTCTAGCGAGAGGAGGAAGGGAAGCTCGCGAGTGGAGTGCGGGGGGCGGGGGGGGCTCCCGCCCGGCCGAGGAGCGCGGGTCCCCCTCCCTCCG